ACATGTTTTGTCTGAGAAGTTCCTGTATAAAGCTCAAACAACCTGAGATGCTGTAGAGAAATCACTAGGAAACAACCTAATTAAAAACTTTAAATGAGTATACCGGATAAAATAAAAATTTTATTTTAGAAATTTGAATACACTTTTTTCCTCAGGATTACTATTCTAAAATTTTAATTAAAACTTTCAATAGAGCTTTTCAGATATGCTGTTACTTTCCACTAATGTTAGGTAAATAGGGCAAACATTAACTTTTCCTGGCCACTTAGAAACTCCTTAGGGTCTGGAACATCCTGAAGAATAATAATTTCCTGTAAATTTTTCTAGTTCATGATCTGCTTAATAATAATGTACAAAACATCAAAATGTTGTCGGGAAAAGCTTTCTCGTTCTCTTACAAGATTTTAATGATCTCTAATCAGAGGACAATTTTCAGCTGGGATCATGTAATCCTATGCAATAAATCTTTCTCTTTTTTTCCATTAAAGAGAACAATGATCATTCATTGTTCATCTGTCAGCCATGAACTAATGTGTGACAGTCCTTTGAAACACTGTTTATTGTGCAGTGCCAAGACGATACCAACTATTTCCTAAAGAAATGAACTTACGTTTATAACTCATTACCTTGGTATAATAATAATTTTGTTGCATCTATCTCACTTTTAAAGTATATACTTTTGCTTACCATACTTTAGGACAAGAAAAAAAACCCATTTAAGAAAAGCAAAAAAAAAAAAATTTTTTTTAAAGTACACTCCCGTGTTAGGTCATTTATTACTTTGATATCTGGGCTTTCTGTGATTTGTATATATGAAGGTGTTATAACTCTATATTTAAAATAAGTTCTAAAATTTTATCTATAAAAATATTTTTTATTTCTCACTTTTCATATTTCTCATTATGTTGATCATGTGTCTATTTGTAATGCAAGACTGAGCTATATTCCAAAGGTAAACATGCTTAGTTGTGTAACAACACCCAGAAAAATGCACCTGGTGCAAGCCTGGAGTAGGTGGCCGAATCGTCATTAAACTAAAAGTTATGTCTAGTTTGCATTTTTTCTTTATATGAATTTTTCACTGTCTTTGTTTAATGGCCTACTTTTTAGGCACTGCTAGGTGCTAAGTGCTGTTGGGTATTTTGAGTCTTTATTTCTCTTACTCCTTACAATAATCCTTAAAATGGGATTTATCCTTATCTTAATGGTTCAAAGGCTAAAGCTGAGTTTCAGTTAAATTAAATCTCAGACTTTTAGGAAGTAAGAGAGCTACAAAGATAAGGAGGATATTCTCCTAACCTTTAGGAACTTTTATTCTAATAGAGAGTTAGAAAATTAAACATGAACAGTCTTATACGCACACGCACACTTACACATACCCTATAACAAGAGGTATTGTGTGACAAATATGTATAAGCCATTAAACTATAGTATATTGAATCTTATCTTTCCTTAAATTTTGTATATCCAAAATTTTAGGTCACCAAACTAGATTATCTGAGAGGTCTTAACCAAAGATATGTGCAATGTATACCATGTGTGTTAAAAATTTTTTTTAAGTCTTAGCCTAGCCTGTATGTACCTATGAATCTTAGCAACAGGATCAAAAGTCATGACTACGTAAAAAGACAAAGGCTAGAGAATGCCAAGTCAGATCCTATCTACCAAATTCAAAGTCAAGTAAGCAGTTAGGATTCAGAACAAATTGGATAAGAACTAATCCAGGAGAAATAGGATACACAGGTAGCAGGCAGCCTTGCATACCAGGATAAAATAGGAGAGAAAAATGTAAAATAAAGCATCAGTGTCAGCCAAGAAGTGTCATATATCTCCTGCTGAAACAAAGCTCTTCCTCATCCTGCAGTTGGGAATGAGTAATTCCCTATAAAGTGATGGGTTGTGAATGAACCTGGCCCAAGGGGATGGGGAGCTCTGAGGACAAACTGGGAGTTAGTGGAAAAGTTTGGTTTAATATTTAAATTTTGGTTTATAAAAATATTTTCTGAAGCAAATCTTTTGGATTTATGTAGAAGTAGTTATATTTTTATTGTAGCATAAAGTGGTCTTAAAGTAATAAACTTATTGTTAGTATTTTTACTTAATACTAATTTTGTTAAAGACATTCCTAGAATTGATACTAAGCCAGTATTTAGCTACTCTCTAATCATCGTCATCATCATTATCATCATCATTTGTCATTTATAAAATACTTGTTACATGTTAGATATTGTTCCAAGTACTTTGCATACATTATCTTATTTCATTCTTGAGCAATCCTAGGAGATGGGTATGATTGTTATCCACTTTATAGCAAATAAGAAACTGGAATCATAGAAACAATTATCCCAAGATTGTATACGTAGTAATTAATGTAGCCAGGATTCAGACCACTGATTCAGTCTCACTCCAGAGCACGTCCTCCTAATGATTATAATATTACCCGAACTACCTCCTAGGGTTAAAATTTAGGATTTTTTTCGCTTGAATTTAGATGATATAATAATCCCATGAACAAAAGCAAAGAAAAAGATATAATACCAAAACTGCAGCAAAGGAAAAAATGTGATACCAAAACTGCCTATCTATTCAATGTTAAATTATTTTAAAAGATATAAAGACAGGCTGTTGTTCTTTTTTAATATAAATAACAAGAGAAAGACAAAGTGCCTCAAATACAGTACAGTATCTATTGAACAGTTTAATAGTTTTAAAAGCTTTCTTAAAACATTCACTTTTCACATAAATGAAATGTCCAAAAAATATATATAAATAAAAAGAAAGACTGCCATGTATGTCTCAGCTTGAAATCAAGTGTACTGTTAATACAGTTGGTGAAACATATACATACACAATGTGTGTGTGTGTGTGTGTGTGTGTGTGTGTGTGTTAAGATAGATAATGTTGACCCACCCATTTAAATGCAATCAGTGTCTGGCGATGGTTGAGGACATTTTCATTTAAAGTATGCATTTTTAGAATATTTTTAAAAAAATTTTTAGCTTGGAAAAGAATATCATGGGCTAAACATTCTCCAAATAAATCCATTGTAAATAAGTAATCTTCCTTTTAAAATAAAGCATGGGAGTTACATAGACAGTTCCTGAAAACAAAAAAAAGCAACATTTTTTTTAATTTAATTATATTCTGTGTGTTAATTGAGAATTTATTCAACGAAATGGAAAGTTAAAGTGGACTAAGATAGGCCAGTTTTTACCTAATTTGAATGTATATTTTGGAATTAAGAATTTGATTATTAAAATTTTATGAAGCCTTAGAAATAATCCCTTTATTTTTTACATTTGAAGAAAAAGATCACTTGTTATTCAAAAATATATAACTAGATACTGGAAAATTGTGGAGGAAAAAAACCGGATTGTTCAAATCTGATCTAATGTTTATGCTACACCCTACTACAATTCATTTAATCTTAGCCAAAATGTTTATAGCTAACATTTGCAGTGAATTGTTATTCATATAAACCTGTTTCTTAGGTAATGATTCTTCAAGTCACAGTAAATGGTTTCTATAAGGTAATATTGGTCTAAGGCTTTGTGAAATTTACCACTACTATGATTAAAGAAATCTCTGTTATAAAATTGACATATAAGGATATTTCAGTATTATGTTTGAAGTGTGCATAATTAAAGAAAAATTGACCAGCAAGTATTCTCTTAACCCAGTAATAGCCATCAGGAACATAATGATACTGGCTGAATTTTTTTTACATTATATCAGATGCCAGACATTTATTACATTCAACCCTTGAACAACACTGGTTTGAACTGTGCAGGGTCTGCTTATACATGTTTTTTATTTTTTCCAGTAAATACAGTAAATGTATTCTCATTATTTTCTTAATAACAATTTATTTTCTCAAGCTTTGTTGTAAGAATATAATATATAGTACATTTAACATACAAAATATTTGTTAATTGACGGTTTACATAATTGATATGGCTTCCAGTAAACAGTATGCTATTAGTAGTTAAGTTTTGAAGGAGTCAAAAGTTATATGATCATTTTCAATTACTCCAGTGTTGGAGGAGGGTTGCGGGGGCGGGGTATAGTCAATTTTTCTAACCTCCATGTTGTTCAAGGGCCGACTGTATTTCTAATTTTGAAAACAACCCTGCATAGAAGATATGATTATTATTTTATAAACAGAGCTTTAAAGGTTAAATGATTTGCCTAATTTTACTCAACATAGTAAGAGGTTTCCTTACTCCAGGTTTTCCAGACTTCATAGTCTATTTAATTTTTTACACCCCAATGTCATTAGTATAAAGCATTTATGATGGTTTTTGATTTACCAGAATATTTGAACATCCAGAACACCTTGCATCCTGGCTATGCCAGATAACTATCTGATCATTTCAATTCCAGGAAATTTGAATTGAATAAATAATAATGACATTTTCTAGTATTTCTAGGACTCATCAAAATTCCAGCAATCACTCAAAAAATTAAACTTTCTCTCTTCTTTTGGCTTTTCCAAAAAAAAAGTTAGTGTTTAATAATTAGATTTTGTATTGTCTCTAGGTTTTCAGTGAAGCATAATGGATTAAAGTGGAAATTGATGGCTACTACAGTTGGTATTTATAAGTTACAATGGCAAGTTTACTATAACTCTTTTTTCAAATTTTATTCAGAAATAAAAATATGCTACTTCCTAACATTAAGCCAAATATTTATTTCCCAGATTTTACCTAAATGTTCTTCCCTGAGGCCATTGCTGTTGTGAAACTATTTTAATGGCCTTCATTGAGGTGTGGTGAAAATGCTCTAATTGCCTTTGCTAAAAAAAAAAAAAAAAAAAAAGGTTTTATATAAATTGAATTTTTCTTTTAGGATAATTGCCATTCACTTTTGTTTTATATGCAACCAAGTGGGGTTTTGCAGTATCCTCTGTGGACAATAAAGTGCTGAAATAGGAGAAGCTAATAATTGCTTTGTGTGGTAATACTGACAACTTCTGCGTATTTGTCAATCTGTGTTAACAGTACCGATCAGGATGGGATCCTCATAGAGGGGCAGATAATATTTCCACTAAATCTTCGGACAGTGATGTAAGTGATATATCTGCGGTTTCAAGGACTAGTAGTGCTTCTCGTTTCAGCAGCACAAGCTACATGTCTGTCCAATCCGAACGGCCAAGAGGAAACAAGAAAATCAGGTGAGTAAGGGGACTTTTGCTGGAAGCTCTTCTAAATATATATCAGAAGGTCTTTATTTTTCTTTGGATAAACATAAAATTCTTTATTTCTAAAGGTTAATGTTTGTCATTAAGGCAATAAGAACTTCTGTAGATATTATTTTTTATTTTATTTTGGTTTACCTTTCAAACTTCTTGCACAAGCAAGTTTTATAGAACTTACAACAATTTTCTTACTAGATTACTTGAAATAATATCATTAGTTATTTTTTTAATGTCTTATTTTTTAAAAAGTAATTGTTATATATTTATTGAGGTTAAAATGACGGTTTTGTGAAGAATTTTGTAATGTTCTAAAATATAAAAAATAATATTTGGAGGGGTTTTTTTCCTAGCTTGAATATGTTTTGGTGATTCAAAAAATATAAGAATATTGCATTTTTTAGTAGGATGCTCCTTATCCCTCCTAAAACTCCTGTAAATGCATGGAAAAAGTCCTCGGCTTCTCAAAATTTATAAATGTTTTATATGTATGCTTGTATAATTTGTGATTTTCACCAGACCTAAAGATTTTATGGGTACCTAGTAACAATTTTTTCTTTTTACTTCTAAGTATCAAAAGAAAATTTTGTAATGAGGAGACCACAACTTTTTCCATGCAACTCTTTAACAGGAAAGTGCGATTTTAAAAACAATTATGATGAAATGTTGCTTACACAAGCGCTCCTCTGGTATACTGGAAGATAGTTTCAACATTTAAAAATTATAATTTTTATTTGTGTTTTAGTAGTTTTTGTTTCCTTTCTGTTTAATTTTGTATGCATTTTTTCTTACGTTTTCTTTCTTTTTGTGTTTATTTGCATGCCTTCCTTCGATTTCTATTGCTTTCAAAGGACAAAGGGAGTAGAAGAGGGAGGGAAAGAAGGGGATAAGCATGAAGAGATAGTTCATGAGGAGGAAGAGGTAAAGGAAGGAAGAATTGAGGAGAATGAGAAAGGGAAAGAGATTACAAAAACGTCTAATAATGAGAAAAACAGAGAATCGGGAGATGAGGAAAAAACACAAGATATACCTGAGCAAGGGAAAGAAAAAGAACAGTGGAATAAAGAGGATTTGCAAAGGCCATTCTCACAAGATGGTGACAGGTAAAATATGCTCATTTCTGTAGACATTTCTCGTTAGTAATATAGCCTTTTTTTTCCCTACCCCTGAAAAACTATTTTGCCTTTTACATTTGGCTCATTTTCTTGTGTTTTCTCTATTTATATTCTAATACAACTAATTAATGTGTTGGCAAATTACTATCAAATAGGTAAATAGGTTGATTTATTAAATAGTCTTTCATTTGTACCTACTAGTTCTGAGAGTCTGAATAACTGGTTTTCATTTAGGATGAGCTGAATCAAACTTAAATTTCCCTTTAGTTTTTTTTTTAACATGAGTTACTGTATATCTTCCCCATTTGTACAGTCAAAACCTTTTAAATGAAATTCTGAAAGGGCTGAAAAAATTTACCCTACTTTATAAGAAATATTACATACTGGAACTGAATTTTTAAAATGAGTAGCAAAATGATTAACAAGTAAGCTTTATTCTGTCTCTGGCTCTCTTGCCTCTTAGTTTTCTGGTGGGTTCTGGTGCAGTGTTGAGTCCTAAGAAGACTGCCAAACAGAGCAGCTGAAAAGGAAGGGTAGATGCCCCAGGGTTCATCAGAAGGCACACATAGTGGGTTAGGCCCCTCTTGCAATTCATTGAGTTAGAGAAACTGCCAGGAAAGGAAATTTGAACAAGGGATAAAAGAAGGGGGAAAAACACAGAAACAGCAAGTCATAAAGAATGCTTTCATTCTCATAGCACAGAGCACTAAAGGTGAAGCTATCTTTACAGTGGTATACTGAAGGTGAAATCAGCACAAGGATGCAGAAGAGTACTAGGTCTTCCGCCTGAGGAGATGAGGCTTCTCTAATTATGTTTATCTGAGACTGAGGATTGCAAATCTTGTACGTTTTGGAGGAATTGGAGTTTCTTGTATTCAATCTAGAATTTGATTTTGTGTTAGTAAAAGCCTGCTTGATAAGCACACCTTATTATAAGGCAAATTTTGCATTAAAATATCTTAATCCCAGTTTGTGTTTTATTCTAATTAATAAGTAATATAATTGGGACAGATGTTTACCCCTTGGGTGTGCAATTCAGTGGTTTAGTCTATGATACTTAACTATATCTTTGCTCTATGAGAGTTTCTGTATAACAGACATTAAACCTAATAATGAATGTTAAGGTAGGCATATTTTGTGATTTGAATCTAAACTATAAATTTCAGTCTTTGTTTTTTATTTAACTTTTGATAATTACATTAGTTTATTAGTAAAGACCATTTTACTGATTTGTAGGGCATAGGATCATTTTGTCATTAATTTACAGAGAAAAGAGAAGATGATGTTGTCCAATTTATCCTTGTAAAGATATACAATGTTCTTTATGTGGTATAAATGAAAACATGAGTCCATTGTTCTTTGCCTAGAGCCAAAAGCCTATACTGACATACCTGGCTTGGATAGAGGTTTAGAGAAGATTATAACCTAAATACCCAATTTTTAAAAAAATTATCATCTGAGGACATTTCTTCATTGCTTTTAGAGAGAGGGGAAGGAAAGAAGTTGAGAAAGGGAGAGGGAGAAAGGGAGATCAACGTGAGAGAGAAACATCTATTGGTTGCCTTCTCCTAGTGTCCCAACCATGGATCAAACCTGCAACACGGGTATGTGCCCTGATCAGGAATCGAACCCGCAACCTTTCCATCTAGGGGACGACGCTCCAGCCCACTGAGCCACACCACCCAGGGCCTAAGTTTCCAATTTTTAATATTACTTTCTTCATTATCTTCTTCAGGAAGGGAGCAAATTATTTTACAGGGAACAGGAAAAGGTGCTATATTTCTAACAATCTGAGTTATCAAGGCATTGTATTCAGTCTAAGTAGCTATAACATATTTCTGGGACTGTAAACTGAAGGAGCTCAGGCTGATCTCTCCTGGGAACATATATTCCATAAGATGGCAAGAGTGTCAACTGCAATTTTTGTAAGAAAATGGTGTTGTCAGACTGCAAATAGGATCTCGAATTTGCTTTCATTTCTTGGAATGAAACTAACAGTCTTTATTTTGAGAAAAAATATGTTTGAATACTCCCAGTGTCACTCTCTTTTCGTAGTTGTTAAAAATAATTGTACATTGTTTAAATGCTAAAAAACAACTTATGTGCCTATACAACATTATTGGAAATAATTATATTATAGAATACACCATTGACGTTTTATGCCTTTTCTTGTAATCCAAGTTTTTATAAACAAGAAAGGTTTTCTGACTTCAGAGTTTAAGTATATATAGTACTGTTACAACTTAAAGTTAACATAGTGACTACAATGAACACAATTTATTATAGTTGCTATTTTAATTACAGTTTTCAGATCTCATTGCATGGTACAGAATTATGTTTTCTGTGTGCTGTTAAGGCAAATTAATGTACATCTTCTGAATGTACAAGTAGAAAATGAATAGCAAAATACAGACTCAAGAAATTTCATTACAGTTTGACTATGTTTGTCCTAAGTTGATAATAATATATTAATATTTAGCTGTTTATATTTATACACATGTATATGGGTCCAATAAAATGCCCCTGTATCATTAACGATGATATGGTGAACTCTAGAAAATCTGGAATTATATTTGCCATTTAAAATGTTTTTCTCACTCTGTGTACATCTGTATTTTAAATTTTATATCTATTTACATTTGTTGATTATATGCCAGCCAGATACATGTGGTAAGCTGGCCCAGAAAAAAAGATGTTACGGGGCAGGAAGAAATCATTCATTCAACTATTTATTTAGAAAATTTCTCAGAGCTGTACTTAAAATTGGAAATGGAAGTTAAGTTAAATATATTCATACTTTTAAGCCTGAGAGTGAAGCAATTTCTTAGCCTTGGATGAATGGATGTTTAAGGGTAGCTCCATATCCAAAAAATGTTAAAATACCTAAACAAATTCACAAGAATTTTTACAAAAAAATTGGCAACAAAAGGGGAGATCTTAAATCTGCAATGGAAGATTTAAAAAACCCACAAATATTGAAAATATAGCATTGTCAAAATCAACAATTTTATAGCTTTGCCATCAAACTAGACTCTTAATTCATTCTTCCAGGCTCTTTTCTGGAGATATAAGACAAAAGAAAAATAATTCAAGAAACTCATTCTCTATAAGTTTTTCATTCTAAGACACTTCTGTAAGTGCTATGGAATTATAATTTATTTTTGGAAGAGATTGTCCTTGAGATATGGAAATTTTTTAAAGGAAAATAGCATCAGTTTAAATTTTCATGAATAGCTTTTTCAAGAGATTAAGCCATGTAAATTATCAAGCAAAAAGTTTTCATCTTTAGGAGGGCAATCAGAATAATTGTTAATGAAATATTTATTGCTGCTAATGTTATTTTTAGAAAATACATGTTTATGGCTGTGTAATATAACTTGATGTGTATGGCATGTGTCTGCCTATGTTATACCTTTAAAGAGAAGCAATATATTTCATGAAAATAATTGTGGATTAGGAATCTAAGATATTTGAATTCTCATCCTAACTTTGTCACATGTACCTACCCACTTTATCTGCCTGGGCTTTTTTGCTTGTCAAGTAGAGGAATGGTTGACTCATATTCTTTCCCATAGTTTAGGTAGATGGAGAACACAGAAAACAGCAAAGTAAGCATCTTCAGTTACACTGATGATTATTATAATGAACTCGAAATATAACAGGTTCTGTGACTAACCACTAGTGGAACAAATAGCTCAACATGAGTTTCTGTCATTCAGCAAATGTTTTTTAAAATTTAATCAGCCAGGATTTAATACTTCATTTATCAAGCTGAGCATTTTTGGTTTAGCACTGTATTTCTCAGTGCTAACCCATCCCAGTGGGCACACTGATGGACTGTGTTCTTCTACTGATGTGCCACCG